TGGTTGCTACAGAAGGTTATGGGAAAAGAGTTATGGCTCATTAGGGGTCACTTAAAAAATCCAACATTTTTTCATATTTTATAAATATATTAAAAATTTATTGTTCCAGTGGTTTCTGTCACTGCAGTGAAGTCCTTGTTATAAACCTTCTCATTCTGCCCTGATTTCACTCTATTTGTAACTGTAATTGGAAGTTCCTTAAAATCAACTGTTGATAATAAGATTTCTTATTTGGCCTTGCCATAGTTCATGCGGACAGTCACTGGCTTCCCACTGCGGTAGCCCTGGTTCTAGCCCATGTCAGGTCATGTGGGATTTGTGGTGGACAAAGTGGCATTGGGGCTGTCCCCCCCCCCAAATCCTTCAATTTCCCCTGCCAATTCTCATCCGCACACATCATCTATTATCCAGGGCTGGTACAATAGGCCAGCTAGTGACCAACATACCAAGTGGACTTGTTCTCACCCCACCCCAGGAAACTAAGATTTCTTATTTGCTATAACAGTCTTAACAATAAGTATTTCTGTTGGGCAGTTATTTGTTACTTGCCACTGTAGTTCCAAGTAGTGATCATTGTAGCAATTAAATGTTTACCAAGCCCAAAACATGGTGAATGTAGATTACTTTTGCACTGCGAAGCCAGTGTGATCACATAACAACCTCATAAGAAATGGCAAGAGACGAATAATACCACAAAAGATTGTTGTATATGAGATTATGTATAACAGCAAAGACAAGGATGATGATAACAAGAAAAGCAAGAACATAGAACAGAATGTATATTTTGGTTAAATATGCATCTGATAGGCATCAGAGAGTTGTTGTGAATAATGGTCTGAGGTACTCAGAATGGGGGGAATTAAAAACGGAGTCCCCCAAGGTTCGATTCTGGGTCCTTTGTTGTTTTTGTTGTATATAAACGACTTGCCCTATATCATATTGAACAAGTCCAAACCCGTTATTTTTGCTGATGATACTAGCATAGTCATTACTAACCCTAGGTCTGCTGATTATGAATTCAAGGCTTCTTTAATATTTAAAAACATAAATGATTGGTTTCAAGATAATTTATTGTCATTAAATTTTGAGAAAACACATTTTATCGAATTTCTGACTAAGAACCGCCAGCCGATGGATATTCATATTGATGATGATCGGATTGTCAACACTACAAATACTAAGTTTCTGGGGCTTATTATTGATAACACATTGTCTTGGAATGGACATGTGGATTGGGTAATGTCTAGATTGGGCTCCACATGTTACATGATTAGAGCACTAAAATCTTACATGTCTCAGGGTACATTAAGAATGATTTACTTTTCTTACTTCCATTCAATTATGACCTATGGTTTGGTTTTTTGGGGTAATTCCCCTTATAGTATACATATCTTTAGGTTCCAAAAAGGGCGATTAGAATTATAATGCACTCTGGGAACAGAGATTCATGTAGGGAATTGTTCAGGGAACTGGAAATTTTACCCCTTCAATCTCAGTATATATTTTCTCTTGCAATGTTCGTGGTTAATAATAAAGATCAATTTAAGTTAAATTCAGAGTTATATAATAGGAATACAAGATATAATAATAAATTCCATTATCCTACATGTAAGTTGACTTTATTTCAGAACGGAGTGTATTACCATGGTATTAAGGTTTTTAATTGGCTTCCTCCTAATATAAGGAACCTGGCTCAAGATGTTAAACATTTTAAAATTGTTTTAAGAAGATTTTTGTTGATGAACTCGTTTTATTCCTTGGAAGAATACTTTGATTGTAAATTTGACTCCAATAATTAACTGCGATCTGTTATGGTATTGAATAGTGTAATGAGTCTTATATTGTTATTTCTATGTAGTGTTATTTGTACTATCAATGACTAATTCCTTATCCTATATGTAGTGGATTTATGGAATGTAAATAAATGAGATGAGATGATGGATGAGTTAGTATGGAGCATTTATTGAGCCATAATTGTATATACACCAATTATTTCATCCAGTCAAAGGTTTCTTAGTTCCAAGACTGCATATATGGTATTTTACAGGAAAAGTGACACAAAATATACTTAAGAGAAATGTGTCATACTGGGCTTGTTTGTATACTGAGCTGGTTGGCTAGGTTAACATGTTGTATTGGTTTCAGTCGCAGCTACAACACCAACAGTCCTAACAAGCATTTCATGCTTTTCCTCAGACCTTTCAAGTCAGTGGTAGAATAATGGTTTAAATTAATAGGTTACAGCTTTTTCCCCTTCCCCAGCCATCCTTTGTGATTAATCACACATTGTCATCACATCTCATTTGACACTAAGTAACCTCTGCAGTCATTAAAGCTTCATTAAAATAATCTCTGGATCAAATCTGTTTATGGTTCTGAAAGAACAGTTAGTAGTCTTCAGAAATTGTCATTTTTGGCTAATTTTGAAAGAGGAAGTTTGTTGATATAGGCAGGAACTTTTGTTACAGATGACAGTGGAGTTGACTTGGATCGTTTACTGGCCCTCCGACTCGCTGAACAAGAACGGATGTTGCACACTATCCCATCAGCTCCGTATCTGGTTGATGTAGGAGTCCCTGCCCAGAGAGGTGGAGAGCTTGTGGCATTGCCGTGTGAGTTTTGTCAGGCCATGGTGCCAGCCAATCAGCTTGTCCTCCATGAGACAGGGTGCCATCTGGATCTCGCTCGTTATGATCCTGCTCCTGTACCACTACAGAGATGTAGGACCCCATCTTCCTCATCAGAAGAAGATGAGCAAAGTGATGGTTTGCCATGCGAGTTCTGTGGTGCTCTCTTTCCGCCACAGTTTCTTCTTCAACATCAGGTACATCAAATAACTGGATCTTCTGTGGAAGAAGGGGTATCTAGAATAGTGATTTGCAGATTGCGTTCTCTGAGAATATTATGATGATGTGTCTGATGCTGTAATGCCTTCCACATCTTTCCCAAGTTATCGTTTTAGAATTATCCTGCAGGATTTTGTATAATCAGTGTAGTTGAAAGGTAATAAATTAGAGAAATCAATAATTAAACCTCATATTTAGATTTCATTATGTATACATTTGAAATTAATCATATGGAGCCCTGTTCTACTCTTTAGAGAGTTCTGTTGCCTGAATCTTATTTGAAATACCTGATACTGAATTAATGGAATTCTACTCTATTCAGTATAGAAGGGGGGGGGGTTTCCCCATGCACCGCGACTAATAGTCTATTGTACATCCCCCTTTAATTTCTACTGTCTCCATACCCTACCGATACTGGTGCCCGCTATCTCCCATTTCTGCCAGCGAGGTCGGCCCTCTACTGGCAGTGGTACCCGATAACTCTCCCCTTTCTGCCAGCGAGGTTGGCCCTCTACTGGCATTGGTACCCGATAACTTCCCCATCTACCGGGGGCATTGGAAACTACTTGGGCGGGAAACATTTTGCCTAATTTTGCTCAGAGGTCTCCAAAAGACATGAGGATCTTTTACATGCCGTAAATCTACATGGGACCCACAGAGGACAAGTCCTCCCGCAGGACTTGTTCCCTGAATTTTTCTGCCCTTAAAAATTCCACGACCTCCGCCGGGTTTGAACCCGCGTACCTTGAGTCATGAGGTGGGAACGTTACCCCTACACTACGGAGGCGGCTTAATTCTACTCTAAAGAACCTCATAAAGATATTCTGCATATTTCTGTTGCATTTTCCATTGCCTCTAATGTATGTGTATTTTTGGGTCTTTTCATTTTAGTAAACAAATTTCTCTCTGTGTAGCTTGCATTTTATTCTTTGTGTGTTGGTAGGCTTTGTGTAATGTCACACCACCTCTGCATGATGGCATCCTAGTAAATGAATTGGGTCCTCTACCAAAGTCTAGCAATAGGACAACTAAGAAACTGCTGAATCTGGACACAGACACGCCACGTCTCTTCCCCCCAACATCTGTGGATCAGACGGATGCTACGAATCCATATCTGAATGAGATGCGGGCAGCTTTGAAGAAACCTATGGCCAGTGTACAGCCTATCGGTAGGAAGCTTTTGCAGTTAAAGGGCTGGACATTAAACTTATGATTGGTGTGTCATAAAAATGTCATAATTTTGATAAGCTTGGTCATCATACTATATATATTTGATAGCATTAATGTGTTTTTACAGGCATTAACCCTTTGGTCCTGCTAACATAAGGAATGCAGTCAAATTAAAAGTTTCCTCTTCCTCACACAGTAAAATGTAGTGAAGTCATATCTAAAATTTAATTCAGTAATATTTTAAATGGAAGGGGTTAAGTGGCAAATAAAATAAGTCAGTTCCTACATTTTGAGCTTGTGAACAGGCATTGAATGTCGCCATTCCCTTTAGCACTTATGTAAAGCTTGGGGTTTGGAGTTTATACAACCTGTAGAAGAAGCTGGAGCGTATGTATTGAAAGAATGAGCCCTGACAGGATCCCAAGAAAATATATAAGTAAACCTGAGGCAGGAGATGTGCAGAAAGAGCTAAACAGTGGAGAGAAAGATTCTATTTTCCAATACCTATAACAGATAAACTGGGCGCAGTACTTCCGTATTCCGTATTGAGGGGGTGGGTTTCCCCATGCACTTAGACCGGTTACTGGTCCATTCTGTATCCCCCTTTAATTTCTACTGTCTCCATACCCTACCGGTACTGGTGCTTACTATCAGCCCCTTTCTGCCAGTGGGGTTCCAACCTCTTACTGGCAGTGGTATCTAATAGTTAGTCCCTTTCTGTCAGCAAGGTCATCCCTCCTCTGGCAGGGGTTCTTAGTCCCTTTCTGCCAGCAAGGTTTCTACCCTCTACTTGGCAGTGGTATCTAATACTTTAGTCCCTTTCTGTCAGAGAGGTCCCCCCTCCTCTGGCAGTGGTACGTGATACTTCCCCCATCTACCGGAGGAATTGGAAACTAGTTGGGCGGGAAACTTGGCCTAATTTTGCTCAGAGGTCTCCTAGAGACATGAGGTTCTTTTACGTGCCGTAAATCTACAACACGGGACCCACGGCTTAAAGTCCCTCCCAGAGGACTTGTTCCCTGAATTTTTCTGCCCTTAAAAATTCGACGACCTCTGCCGGTTATTTGAACCCGCGTACTACGAGTCATGAGGTGGGAATGTTACCTCTAGACTATGGAGGCCGCTGGGCACAATACTTGGAAAGATGGTAACTGTATGGCTTTATAACTTTTCTGTCTTTTTCAAGGTCACCAGTACTTGGCTGGCTCTGAATTTGCTCAACAGAATGAATTTGAAAGTGCAAACTGCCATTCAAACGTTCCTTCATCAGGGTGAGTTGTAATCATAATGTGAATATTATATGACCCAGAATTAAGAATGAATTAAAAATGTTTGGTACTGTAACACAGTCATAGCAGAAAAATAATTTTTTCATAATTTCGCTCCTGTTTTAAACATTGATAGTAAACTGATTTCTGTGAAACTCAGGATTTCAAAGCTTGTAGTTAAGATTTCAGTATTTGATGGCTCTATAGGAAAGTGACACACAATACTTCATTGCTTCACTTTTTGTGTCAACCTCATTTTCAGCCACATGTTACTTATTATCTGCAGTAACGTGTGTGTGTGTGTGTGTGGGAAGAATATGGTCTTCTCATAGTGTCTTTTAGGTAGTAAACGGTTGAATGTAGAAAACAGAATGAAAAGAACAATCACAAGAAGGTTAAAGTGAAAAGTTTATGGTGTTGGAGACACTGGATGGGAGCTCTGTTCATGAAAGTAATTCTGTCTGTGTGACCATTCTGATATGCGAAAGTAGAAAATTAAAGGAATTGGAAACAGGCTTAGCCACTTTCATCAAATACAGGACAATGGATATGATGTTTTGCATGAAAAGTGCATATTTAAAGCTCATGGAAATAAGTGAAGTAATGAAGTTCCTGGGGCAGAGATCTATGCAAGCTGGGAAAACAAAGCAGTTATATGTCCATGGTAACAAAACATGCTTTTTATTAGTAATGTCTTTTTTGTATGCCATGTGCTGTAGAGGTAACACCTCGTATGTTTTGATGAATCTCATATGTAAGACGATATCTTCCAATAGCTTCCTGTGTAATGCATTGGTAACATACAAGAGTTAAGTAGTTGTATAAGTAAATGTTTCCNTAAAGCTCATGGAAATAAGTGAAGTAATGAAGTTCCTGGGGCAGAGATCTATGCAAGCTGGGAAAACAAAGCAGTTATATGTCCATGGTAACAAAACATGCTTTTTATTAGTAATGTCTTTTTTGTATGCCATGTGCTGTAGAGGTAACACCTCGTATGTTTTGATGAATCTCATATGTAAGACGATATCTTCCAATAGCTTCCTGTGTAATGCATTGGTAACATACAAGAGTTAAGTAGTTGTATAAGTAAATGTCTCCAGAATGTGTTGGTATGCCCAAAATGATAATGGCCATAGCGTAATCTGCACTAGAATTGTACTGAAGTACTAGTATTGTAACCTGGGCTATTATGCAAACATTTTCACTGTATGTTAGATGCATCTTTCTGTTGTATCCAGTTGTTACACTGGAGGCAGTGTAATGTGAACGCCCAGAGCATTTCTAGGAAACAGCTTGATAAACTCATTCCTGTGAATACACAACATTGGAAACTGTGTTCATTGTGGGCTGTGGTACAATTAGTTGCTAGGTGACGCAATACTGCTGACAGTGGAGGAGAGTGTCTTCTTTGTGGTCCATGCCATGACCGTTGCTATGCAATGGCTCGGTAACAAACCTCAACAATAGAGAGACTGTTTTCTGTGTGGTCCATGCTGTGGCTATATAACGAGAGCTGTGAGCCATAAGGTCAGAGTGATAGTGACAGTTCAGTGACAGCAAATTGGAACTAGGAGTGGAGAATTCAAGTTCAGTTTCAATTTCAAGACAGTTCAGTTGAGGGCAGTTACAAGAGAGAAATAGTAGCGGTGGAAGCACACGAGTGAGAAAATTGCAACTAGTGAAGACTGGTGGAAATAGACTGAGAAAAGTACTGTGGAAAGCCCAGGAGGGTTCAGCAATTATAGAGTACAAGGATGAGAATGGAGCATGAATTTTGAAGATCGAGTACAGATTAGGACAGAGGAGTATAGAATGATTGACGACAAGAAGCCTTCATAGCGATTTGAAGTGATAATTTCTGTGTTCAGATATGATGCTAGGAGACTACTAGTGAAGATATAGAATCCTTGTGTGTGTGTGTGTGTGTGTGTGCGTGCGTGTGCATGCGCAACAGTGAACTGGAAAGTGTGTAAATCAGCGATAGCACTGTATTGCCTGTATTTAAGTGTAATGAAGAGAGGGTGTGTAACCAAAATGGTAATAAATCCAGTCATCTGAACTAGAACCCATCATTTTTTATGCATACCATCCTACATGCGAGAGTATGCAATATTAAAATTGAATTATCATCAGCAAACTTCATTTCAGGTGTGCCAATGGGATGGTGAGTCATCCTACCTCAACTGGAGCAGTACCAAAACAGAAGGCAGGAAGGCGTGCCAGCACCCGTGTGTATCCTACTAATCCATACCTTCTGTTCATGCACAACTGGTTATGCTTGGCAACCATATTGTTTTACCAGTTCAACATTGATATGAAGCCATTTAGATATGTTGAATGGACTGATTCTTAAAACTTCCCCAACATGACAGACAGCACTGTCTCTGACTACTATGTCACCAAGTTGTAGTCCTATATATATGAGATTTCTATGTTAATGGACCTGCATCCAAAACATAATACTGTTCTCATTTTCTAGACAGTCAGCTCACAGATGGTGGTGAGGTTGTGAACCTAATATGCCAGCCACCCTTCACCACCAGGAAGATTCCTGGTACTTATTTTTGTTAGAGACTGAGTAGACCCCAGCATCATAGTGCAGCTGGAAGAGTTAGATCAATTGAAAAAACCAATGACCTCATCAGGAATCAAACCCGTAACCTTCTGGTTTGTAGCATACTGCCCCAACCAACTGTGCTGCCATGTACCCCCTATTTAATGTTTTTAAATTGATCATGCAGTAACATGTGATAATGTATATTGCCATTTGGAGCAGTTGTTGACTCATTGATCATAACCATTTATGATCATGTTATCAGTTCTTTGCTGACTTATTATTACACTAACACCACTGCTCAGTAAGTGCACTGCTCCTCCTCTTTCATCTTCTGTCTGGATGTACTAAACTAATGTACAATTCACAGCACTCTTTGCTTCACTACCACAGCCAGTAAGTTTGTGGAATGGCCGCAAATCGTCTTACGGGAATTTACTGCCAATATGTTTCAGCAATGTTTTCGACAGCTATATCAACTTTGGCAAACTTGCATAGCAGCCAACAGCAACTATTCTGAGGGCCGATGTGGATCTGCATAAGTGTATGTGAATATCTTGTAATATGATGCGATAAAACCACATTTCATGAACTTAATGACTCTACCACGTACATACATGACCAAACTACACTGTCTGTTTTCACAAATTCTCCTGTAGAGAATTTCACAACTGCTTTTTATAGGCATAGTCCTTTAGAAGTTTCTTGTAGGTTCTCGGGTAGATCTACCGATAGTCATAATCTGGGCAGCTTTCAAACAGTCTAGAAGCACAGGGGAGTCCCAGTGTTTTGACACAAGAGAGAGGCACATGCTGGCCAGGCTGTGCTCCTAATTAAGCTCCCATGACAATATCCTTGTTTTAACATACTTTTCATTATAGCTCACATTCAATATACATGACTTTTATTGTAGAAGAATATTTAGTTCATCAAGAATCCCCCATTAAATATTTGCTCTTATACAGAAATATTTTCAATAAATGCCAGAAGAGGAGTTACCAAATTATTATAGCTGTTATCAGTCATCTTACTGTGGGTTAAATCATGTAATAACAATTTAGCTATTACATGTATTACAGTAGTGTACTAACCCTAGTTCTTTTGTTATCTGGATCTGTACTCTGGTGGTAACAGATCTTTCATCAATTCAGTTTTTGTACACATAACATTGCAACTTTTCTGCATATTATCAATACAGAAATAATACGATTTATGTAAATGATGATGTTTTTCTTATCAGCAGCAGCCCATATGATGACTTTAGTGCATGACTTCAGGTTTACAAAGAAACATATGGTAATAATTATTCTGTAGCACAGTGTTACTAAGATATACACTGGTTCAAAATAGTTTAGTATGATTCATTATTTTTTCCCACATATGAAAGGGTATCATATCAATGTTGTATTTGACAATCAGCTGGTTGCAGACATGGCCAGTTGTTAAGAATTAAATAGAATGGAAGGAGTAGACATTTAACAAGTTTACTTCAGTGTGCTGAGTGCAAGGTTTATGTTTGAATCAAAATGAATGATAATGCTATATTTTAATGTTATATGTTAATGTTACATGTATTATAACAAAAGTTTGCAATCAAATCCCCATTAAATGTTCATTGGTTTATCATTTTCCCTCATTTAGAACTCGGTTTCATTTATCCCAAGTTATTAATTGCAGTGTTAAATTACTTGCACATAAGATACCAGCATTTCACTCTGCATGCCTCTGCTAAAATACAAACAGTTTCACGATATTATCGCTCCATAACCTCTTCACCAGATATTATTAGAGTTATCAAGTCAAGGAGTATGAGATGGATGGGACATGTAACACATGGGAGAAATGAGAACTACATTGCTACTTTTTCTTGTGAGAGTCTGAAGGGAAGAGGCTGCTTGGGGTACCTGAACGTAGATGGGAGGGTAATATTAAAATTTATATTAAATCAGTGGGGCATGGTGATGTAGCCTGGATTGTTCGGCTCAGGCCAGACCATTGGTGATATTTGTGAACATGTTACCGAACCTTCGGATTTCATAAAATGTGGAGGCACTTGAGTGTTTGCATGACTCCTAACTTCTGAAGAAGGACTCAGCTCCATGGAATTAGTTTGCTAGTATGGGATGCAGAAGTCTTACTAGTGGTATTAATTGTCTGAAGTTGACTTCCACAAATACACACAAATATAAACCTGCATCACTGTCAGTAAACAGAATAATGCCTCCTATAAGAATAACCCACTGCAAGGTGAAGTGTTCATTAAAACAATATGGCCATGAAATAAGCCATCGCTGGGTGTGGTTTATTCATCTTCCATGTTTGGAACATATTGCCACATGAATAGTTCATGTCAGTGTTTATTTAGGCTTATGTGAGACAAAAATTATGTAACATTACTGTGAAATAAGACTGTACTGTTATCTTTTAAATTAAAATAGCAATTTAGATTCATGCATGAGCTTTGTGTTTGTCTTTTATCTAAAAGTAGAATAAATGTCATGCAAAATGCCTTCCTTTAATGTAAGTTACTGTTTTTTGTAAAGGTAAAAGGTAAAGCTATCACTTTAAAATGCCGTGAAGGCCCATAGGACTGTGAGACATCGAGGCTCCCACGTTTTCTTTAGACAGTCTGCTCACAGATGGCACTGGCTGCTCTTTACCCCCAAGGAAAATTCCTGATACTCATTTCTGTTAGAGGCTGAGTCAACCCCAGGGCCATAGTGCGGCTGGAAGGATTAGGTAATTTAAAAAAATTCCACCTCATTGCGACTCAAACCCATAACCTTCCGGCTTGTAGCATAGTGCCTCAACCAACTATGCTACCTTTTGTATGTGTATTAATTACACGGAGCAGAATGTGGGAAGCTAATAGGTGCTCAGTTAATACATTCCCTGTCTTCTGTGGGACCCAGAGGTTATTACTGTGTGCAGAAGAGTCTGCCATTGGTTTCTGTGTGAACCAGAGGAATCTGTTCCAGACCATCACACCTTTTGTTTCCAAAATCGATTTTAACATTATCCACCACTTAATGCCTAGGATATGCAAGTGGTCTCTTCTCTTTCTGGTTTCTATCTAAAATTCTGCATGTATTTCTCATCTCTCCCATGCAAGTTGCATGTCTGGCAGCCTCCAGATAAGGAAGACAGTTGTGAATAAATTGAATAAGCAGTCCCAGATAGCCACGAGTGAGTGGTCCTCAAGCTAGGGAGTTGGGGAGGGGATCAGCTGTTCACTGTGAAAAATTGTGTTGTAGTTGACTCGGTTGCATGGCTTATTTGAATTTTGATTTTGATTCCCTTAAATATTGTTTCATTGCCTTGATATGGTAGCTTGAGATTTCATTGCCTTATTTTGACCTGTTGATATAGGTATTGCTAATGCGTGTGTTTGGCATGAGTAGGAAGTTGATGAGCAGGGTGGTTTAATAATATTGTACTGTGTTTCCTGTTTCGGCTACTCCTCGCAGCAACTATTGTCCGGCCGTTACAACCGCTCCCCTCTTAAGACCAGCTCGTCTCTAGCGGTTTCCTTTCAGCTCGCCTAGACGATCCCGTTGTATCACATTCATCCATCACTTTCATTCTTGCTTGGGTGGCCGGTACTTCTACGTTACCGGCTCCTCTTCTGTGCTCTGCTTCTTTTTCGTTTTGGAGGGGGTTGACCCCTCCACAATGTCCAGCCCTTGATCAAGTCTTTCTTCGGAAGTTCCTTATGTCCTTGATGCGTTGTTTGCACTTGCTGACTTCGTCGTTCCTCCTGGTCTTCCAGCCACTTGCTGGTACAAGACTGTGGCGTCAAGTCCTCTCTCTGGCATCCGAAGGTTCTTCAGCATCTGAAGGTTCCCTGGGGAGTTTCCTTCTTGAAGGCGTTTCTCCAACGTCGTGCCACTGTCGCACGACAGGATGTCTTCCTGTAGGTGGCAGCCAACTTCATCCGGGATTCATAATCTCCTCGGGTCCAAGATTTATTGAAGATATTCCTCCTATGCCATGCCACTGTTGCACGGAGGGACATCTTCCTGCTGTTTTCCTTCTGCCGTTTCTCTTTCGCACAGCGGCTCGTCCCTCTGCAGGCTACGGCCAACTTCTTCTGGGGTCCACAACTTCCCCATGTCAGATTCTTCATATTTCGTCGTTTTCAGTCCCTGCACCTTTTCTTCTTCGGTTCTCCGACCGGTATCACTGTGGGGACCTCTTCTTGTGCCGCCGCCGCAAGTTTCGTTTCCGCTGAGGCCAGATTCTCCTCTTCTGCGGCCATTTCTTCTCGCCAGGCCTTCAGGTTGGCCCTCATTTCTTCTTGATGGGTTCAGAACATTTCTTGCATCTGCAGTCGGTAGGTATCTCCTTTTACTTGGTTGGCCCTCATCTCTTTCAGCATATCCTCTTTGTCTTTTTTTGATTGGCCTCCGTCTTTTCTTGGTAGGATTTCATGTTGGCGTCCATTCTTGCCAGCATGACATGTGTTTCTTCTCGATCAGCTCTGATTTCCTTCGGCAGGAGCTCCATCATCTGCTGTGATTCCATGTTCTTTTCATGTGTATAAGTTTGTATCCCAATTCTGACACCAAATTGTCACGTGTCTTGAGTTCGAATCTTGTTGGTCACGTGTGTGTGTCCAATCCCACTTCTGACACCAGTGTACTGTGTTTCCTGTTTCGGCTTCTCCTCGCAGCGACTATTATCTGGCCATTACAACTGGTTGTAATGGCCGGATAATAGTCGCTGCGAGGAGTAGCCAAAACAGGAAACACAGTACACTGGTGTCAGAAGTGGGATTGGACTTACACACGTGACCAACAAGATTTGAACTCAAGACACGTGACAGTATAGTAGGAAGTGTACTTCTATCAGCCCTAAAAGTACAGTCCAACCAGTAAAATGAGTACAGGTTATAACAAAACCCTGGAGAAGAAACAAAGACATTATTGAAACTGTGTGAACAAGAAACTTATAACTGTATGAAGTCTCATTTGACTGCAGTTTTCCCAAAGCAAATATCTGTCACTTTGCCCAGTATCTGCACATGCATGATAAAGGAAATTCATAATGGGGACATTGTGTTCTTTCACATGTTTACCTCTGATGTTGCTTGATGGATTTAAATCAGACATGTCAAACTGGCAGCTGTCATGCTCCTTCATCAGTGCTTTTTAGCAGCCCCAAAGCAAATGGTCACACTAAGAGGCCATCAGCGAAGTCCTTGTTTTTCATGCTGATGTTTCTGTATCATAAAAGGGAAGTGGGTAGCAGTTGTGTACCAAGCTTCTTAGCCTGTTTGGCATGATCTACCCAGCATAGAGTGTGGCCATTGTTAGGGCAGCCAATATTTTTAAGACAATTGTAGAGCAGGTTATGTAGTGTCCAGTGACAGTGATGAGTGAATAATGAATTGAATTTGAAAGAGAGCAATCATGCCCTAATTTAAGGCACATCCTCTGCCTTTGCCTGAAGGAACCGAGGAAAAGTATGAAAACCCTCAGTCAGGTTTTCCTGTCTCCAGGACGAGATTTGAAACCAGGCCTTTTGGGTACACAGTAGATCACAACATTCAGCGTTCAAAGTATTGAAAATACTAACTTAGGAAATCTGTATTTGTTACAATATATAAACAAAGGCCATAGTCATTATTTTTCCAATCCATTTACAAATGATAGTAACCCAAGGTACTACTCATAGTTAATTGTATGAGAAAAGAAATGTTGGCCCTCCCGAAACATTTATGGTCTCAGTGTGGTTCATATGTAGAACCGAGTTTGACATGCCTGAGTTAACTGGACTTAGTTATTGGCAGATTCACGCTGAAAGTGTTTGTAAATTTAATTTTGTTTTTCAATCCACTTTAATGATATACTCAAAGATAGCTTAAGAAAACTGGACCTTAATATACAAATACAGATCTTATAATTCTTTTAATCATTAATATGGTTACTGTTCTTGCAGATGAAGTCTCCCAAGAAGTACCGCGCCCCCCTGCCACCACAGTAAATCAATCCGGTCATATACGGTTCCAACATACTGATGCCAAAAGGTGATGAAGTAAAGTGTTCAAGTTATAGTGGTTAAGATGGCCAGTTTTCCTCTCCTGTATGTGAACCTCCCAATTTTTCTGATAAGACGTAAGTTATTAAGCATTGTGCAGGGACTCATTTTATTCATTCAGCAGTTCAAGCAATGGCTGAAAGAAACTCTGTGTTCAGATGTGTTCTGCAATGTGTGCTCTGTGACTTGAAACTTTTAGTACTAATATGGTTGAGTAATTGCAAAATAAATGCAGAATGAAGATTTTAGACAACAGAGTAAGTAAGTAGGGAACGAAAAGGCTGTTATGTTTGACTTGCTATTGTTGATCTCTTTGTGAGTCTGATAACATATACATGGTCTGTTCAAAAAGTTTTGGAACTATTTTTATAATTTTTTCAGACATACCTACTACTGAATGAGCCTTATTGTTATAAAGTACTCCCCTGCCACATTGATTCACTGCTCCCAATGCCTTTGCCACTTCTGATACGCCTTTTTCATGATCGCATAGCTCTGTCTGCAAATTTTCCATAATCTCTTGAATTGTCTGAAATCGTCATCCTTTCAAAGTGGATTTCAGTTTGGAAAATAAGAAGTAGTACATACATACTTTATTTCACTTCCATAAATCCTATCAGGAGTTACAAACTCATGTGGATGTGGAGATCGTCTTGGTTACAAATTTGGCTCAAGATACAACTTGTCGTACAAATATCATAAACATTCTAATACAATCCATTACAAGTAAATTACAAGTGGAAAACAATCCTGTCATACATTATTAGCACATACATATTAATGATAAAATTCAATAAGAGATACATAATAGTTACAATATAAATAAGTAATATAAAATAAGATATTACAATGCTTGTATACAATAAAATAAAATAAAAGTTACAAAATACCCAATATAAATAATTATAAATACAAAAATACAAATCTGGCTATTTATCTCCTTTTAGAGTAGAGTTATTCAAATACCTTAAGGGGATTTGTAACAGAAATATTCTTGTAATGAATAAAAAGAGTGTAGTAGTAAAAATTGTTTCAGTAGTACTTCAAACATCTTAATATCACTTGATACATCCTTAATGTGTTGTGGAAGATTATTGTAGACCTTCATTCCTGAATAATAGATTCCCTTTTGATACATCCTCAAATTTACTAGGGGTAGATGGAGGTTTTTTTGTTGCCTAGTATTTTTCCTATGGATCTCTGAATTTACTATGAATTCACTTCTATTTTTTGCTACAAAAAGCATAAGAGAAAGTATATACTGAGATGCCAAGGGCAATATTTCTAGTTTTTTAAATAATTTCCTGCACGAGTCCCTCCTTCTACAACCCAACATAATTCTAATTATATTCTTTTGCATCCTGAATATTTTTATGCTTAAGGGTGAGTTGCCCCAAAAGGGTATCCCATAATTTATGATTGAATTAAAATAAGAGTGATATACCATTTTCAAGGTACTTAGGGACGTGAATGGTTTTATTGATCTTATTATGTAGCAAACCGCACTTGTCTTTGAAGTAATATGTTCAATATGGCATTTCCAGTTCATTT